AATTACAGCAAGGCGGCTGAGTGGTGGCAGGACGCAGTGGAACTTGGTCGTGTGGAAGCAATGATTTCCCTGGGCAACATGTACCAGCGCGGCCTTGGCGTGCAGAAGAATCACAGCAAGGCGGCGGAGCTCTACAGCAAGGCCGCGGAGCTGGGTGATGCAGATGCCGAGTTCAACCTGGGGAACAGCTATCTTTTTGGAGAAGGTGTTGCGCAGAACCTCAGCAACGCGGCACAGCTCTACAGCAAGGCCGCGGACCTGGGTAACGCCCATGCCATCGTAAACCTTGGACATCTCTATTACGATGGTGCCGGCGTCGAACAGAACGACGGCAAAGCGGCACAGCTTTACAGCAAGGCCGCGGACCTTGGTGATGCCGAGGCGACGTTCATGCTGGGCACCTTTTTTTATAATGGCCGTGGGTTCCAGGAGAACCACACCAAAGCAGCCGAGCTGTACCAGAGGGCGGTAGACTTGGGCCATGTCCAGGCCATGCTCAGTTTGGGACACATGTATCACGAAGGTGATGGTGTGCCGACAGACTCTGCCAAGTCTGCGGAGCTCTTCCGCAAGGTGGAAGCCCTGCAAAACCTCCAGTAGCAAGCCGCAGAAAGCGGGGGTCCGTGGGGTGAAGAGTGTTTAGGGCCTGGTGGTTGGGGTGTTCGTTCCTAAAGCAACCCCTCCCCATAAGAATCTGTTCAAGTCAATCATTACTTTCAAGTGCCGAGCCCTGCGGAGATGTGTTAGCGTGACGTGAGCCTCATTCGGGCATGGAATTTAGGGCTGAGCACCAAACCCCAAACAACAACACCATAAATCAACCTTCTTGGGGCTACACCCCAAACGCCGAAAACCCAAACTCCTAAAACACCCTAGAACTTTAAACTCTAGGAACCTCAAACCCTGAATCCTAAACCCTAAACCCTAAACCCTAAACCCTAAACCACATCAGGCCCTTACTGCCACACGGAGATCACAGTGCCCGCGCGGCACCACCAGCGTCCACGAAAAAACGCCCGCCTGCGATTGAAGAGGAGCGGGGTTCGGGGTTTAGGGTTTAGGGTTTAGGGTTTGGGGTTTGGGGTTTGGGGTTTAGGCTTTGGGGTTTGGGGTTTGGGGTTTGGGGGTTTAGGGTATCAGGGTTTAGGACTTAAGGTTCAGGGTGATGGAGCATGACGGTTTCCGGGTTTCCCTAAACCCCAAACCCCAAACCCCAAACCCTAAACCCTAAACCCTAAACCCCAAACCCTCCACCCGGTTGAAGCGACTGCTAGCTTCCTTAAGCTTTGCGCCACCCCCTATGCCAGGGAACCCCCGGCCTGAGGTCGTCCTTACAAGTCGGGGAAACCTTACGAGTAAAAGTTCAATTAAAGAATGGTCACCTGAAAGAAAGGTTTGAGGAGTTTTTTCGGTGCAGGGTTAGGGTTTAGGGTTGAGGGTTGAGGGTTGAGGGTTTAGGGTGTAGGGTCCCTTCTTCTTCCCCCTTACGGGCTGCACCCGGGTCTCCGCCCATGAGGTGCCCACGACTGAGACAATCCCTCAAGTGACCTTGAATGACCCTCATAGGGTTTAAGGTTGAGGGTTTAGGGTTGAGGGTTTAGGGTTTAGGGTTTAGGGTCTAGGGTTTAGGGTTTAGGGTTTAGGGCGACGGTCGCTGCGTTTGGGCGAAGGGCTGAACGTTTATACAAGATTTAGGGTTTTGAGTTTTGGTTTACTAGGTAGGCCCTTAGGATATTGTATGTTTTCCCTTATTGGGTTTAAGAGGATCCTATTTAGGAATATTTTTCAGAGGGTTTAAAAGGCCTACCTAGTTGAATTCAGGGTATAGGGTTTTGGGTTCTTCCTGTCTTGCGATTGCGCATGGCTGCGGGCAATCGACAAGAGCTACTGTAAACCTAGGATGTCTTGGTAGCCCGGTGGTACCCTTTACCCTTTTTGTGGTGTTGTGCATTTCCTTGTAAAGTAACCAACCCACAAAAGAGGGTGCCCAGACTATAATATGGTTTCTGGGCTACCAAGATGTTTCCACGGTTTAGGGTTTAGGGTTTAGGGTTTAGGGTTTAGGGTTTAGGGTTTAGGGCATAATCCCGACCACTCCTTAGCAGGACGCTGGACAGTCTTCTACAAGACTTCGAAAGGTCTCCGGAGACTTGGCTGACCCTAAACAATCAACCCTAAACCCTAGACCCTAAACCCTAACCTCTAAACCGTAAACCCTAACCCTAAACCCTTACAACATTCATTATGCATGTGCCATGTATCGTGCAGGCCCGCCCCCCCCCCCCCCCCTTCATTCTCGCAAGCATGCTTCTTTTTCTGCATGCCCAAACCGTAGGCCCTAAACCCTAAACACCAAACCCTTTACCCTAAACCCTTAAACCTAAACGCCCCCTAAACACCCTCAAGCCCTAATGCTTCCTAGAAAGGACACCTGCCTTATGATAATTGTGGGGATGACAGGTCCCCAGACCCTAAACCCTAAACCCTAAACCCTAAACCCTAAAGCCTAAACCCTAAACCCTAAAGCCTAAAGCCTAAAGCCTAAACCCAAGACTCGCACACAACGCACAATAGCTTCTCCAGACTCCCCAACCCTTAAACCCTTAAACCCTTAAACCCTTAAACCCTTAAACCCTTAAACCCTTAAACCCTTAAACCCTTGAACCCTGAAACCCTTAAACCCTTAACCCTTCAACCCTTAAACCCTTAAACCCTTAAACCCTTCAACCCTTCAACCCTTAAACCCTTAAACCCTAAACCCTAAACCCTAACCCCCTTTTCATTTTGCTAAACCACAACTCAGCCCAAGACCCTCTAAGCTGGGACTGCACGCCTTCCTGACCCTCTGCCACGATCGGCCGAAGGGCCTTTCAAAACCGAAGTTTGGGTGTTTAAGATTGTGGTTTCGGGTTTAGGGTTTAGGGTTTAGGGTTTAGGGTTTAGGGGTTTAGGGGTTTAGGGGTTTAGGGTTTAGGGTCTAGGGTTTTAAGGGTGCAACTGCTTTAAGTCACCCAGCTCAGGAGCGCGTGCACGATGAGCTTCAGGCCTGGACAGCGCGCAGCCACTACGCACGCAACATCCTCGCAGGCTGGGCAGGGGCTGGACAGCCTCCCCTTCTGGAGACCCTAAGATGTTTAGGGTTTAGGGTTTAGGGTTTAAGGTTTTGGGGTAGAAGCCCTGAACCCCATCAAAGTTCAGGTGTCTGGAGGTTGCTAACTTTCAGGGCTACAGTCGTTCAAACCTTCCGAAATGCATTCTCTTTATATTTATCTTTCTATTTCTCTTCTCTTTCTCTTTATCTCTTTCTCTTTTTCTCTTTCTCTTTCTCTTTATCTTTCTCTTTCTCTTTTTCTCTCTCCCTCTCTTTTTCTCTTTCTCTCTCTCTCTCTCTCTCGGTCTCTTCTCTCTCTCTCTCTCTCTCTCTCTCTCTCTCTTGTCCGAATTCCGAAGCCCTGGCCTTGATCTTCTGAACCCTCCATTTGTCTTAGGGTAGTCTCATGGTCCTTTAGCATGGGCCCTTAAAAGGGCTCATACACCCCTTATACACCCCTTACATACCCTTAAAATACCCCTTATATGCCTTTTAAAGGGCTTCTATACCCCTTAAATACCCTCTTAAATACCCCTTATATACCCCCTAAACGGGTTTATACACCCCCTTCTATGCCCCTTACATACCCTGTGCTAACCCAAGGGCCCCAGCTGTAGCTACCCCAGGTCGTTTGCTTGACCACCTCGCAACGTGAAGCCCTGAAGAGTTTAGGGTTTAGGGTTTAGGGTTTAGGGTTTAGGGTTTAGGGTTGTTTAGGGTTTAGGGTTTAGGGTTTAGGGTTTAGGGTTTAGGGTTTAGGGCCCTCGGCCCTTGAGGGCATCCCACGCCCCAGGTTACTTCGAGCAGCGTCCTGACAGCCCTCGTGCGGATCCACCACCAAGCCTCCTGTTTGCTTGAACCCCAAACCCTGAACCCTGACCCCTAAACCCTAAACCCTAGACCCTGGACCCTGGACCCTAAACCCTAAACCCTAAACCCTAAACCCTAAACCCTAAACCCTAAACCCTAAACCCTAAGCCGATTTCGGCCTTAAGGTCTTGACCGATCTGGCGGCTTCAACATCCGGGCTTGAAACCGATTCTGTAGCTCAACCTTGCATGCTAAGCCCCAAACTTTGGTGAGTTCAAGCCTCTCGCAGCCTGTAGCCCTAAACCCCAAACCCTAAACCCCAAAGTGAACGGACGACCCGGTTCTCGGGCTTTTCGGGGGGGGGGGGGGGTGTCGTGCTTATAGCATGGGCCCAGGGGAAGCTGGACCGTACACTCTCTCAGACCAATGGTTTTGGGGGCTCAGGGCTCAGGGTGTAGGGTTTAGGGTTTAGGGCTCAGGGTGTAGGGCTTACACTGCTGCCCGAAGGCAAGGCTCCTGACAGATTGCGATGCTGGGTTTAGGGTTTTGGGTTTTTGGGTTTTGGGTTTCGGGTTTTCCAGGGTTTTTGGGTTTTTGGGTCTTTGGGTTTTGGGGTTTTGGGTTTTGGGTTTTGGGGGTCCAGGCTCAAAAGTTCGAATGCAGAGCTTAAGGCGACGGCTTTAAGGGTCAGAGTTTTGTGGTTTAATTAATTCGGGTTGAGCGCTATTGCTTTTTTGGTTATGACTAGGACGTGGACGGCTATTGCCTGAAGCTACAGTACTTCTACTTCTACGGCGATTACAACGACGACCACCACCACCAGCTCCACCAACCCCGCAACCCAACCCTAAACATCTTCTACTTAGGGTTCAGAGGTTTAGGGTTTAGGGTTTAGGGTTTAGGGTTTAGGGTTTAGGGTTTAGGGTTTAGGGTTTTGGGTGGTTCAAAACCCAACGTTGCAACTTTGGCCTTTTATCAGGTAATCTTATTGAACTCTTTACCCCATGGGCGTTTGGGAAGTATGTCGAACCAAGGCGCACCCACCTTCGACGAGGACTTCATGACAACACTACTGAGTGGGGGGACGATCTCCCTGTAAGCAGCGTCCGTCCTCGAAGGGATAAAGGCCTAGGTAGGCCCTTGGGATATTTTATATTTTCCCTTATTGGGTTTAAGAGGATCCTATTTAGGAATATTTTTCAGATGGTTTAAAAGGCCTACCTAGAGGCAATAGTCCCTCCCAGTTCAGGGTCTAATATAGGGGCTTGAAAAACTGAGAATAGGGTTTTGGGGGTTGCTGTAGTATGTTTATAGGGGGACCCTGGGGGAAGATGATTAGCAATCATTCCGACCCGCTTTCTAAAGTAGGGTTTTAGGGTTTATGTTCCAAGCTTTGTTCCAAATGCAGCTGTTCTTGGTCAGCGTTGCGGGCTAAGGTCCCTAAACCCTAAAACCCTACAACCCTAAAACCCCAAAACCCAAAAACCCTAAAACCCTAAAACCCTAAACTCTAAACCCTAAGTGCCTTTGTCCCAGAGGAGAAGCAGAGGAAATAGGAGCCCCGACATGGGTCGGATTTTCGTTCGTACAGGTGCAGCTTTAGAACGTTCTTTGGTGTTCATTTGGAGCTTGGCCTGAGTTTGGAGCCTCTCTTTTTTAGGGTTTAGGGTTTAGGGTTTAGGATTTAGGTTTTTCGCTTGTTGGCTTTAAGAGGATCATAGTGCGGAATCTTTTCAGAGGGCCATCCTAATATCCATGAATTTTAAATGTTGCCATCAGGCCCCATTACAGGCCACTTGGCGGCAGAACTGCTTGGATGATGAAGTGGTAGTCGGTGACGTTAAGCACATGGAGGCTGACACATGAGGGTTTACGAAAAACATAGGGACCCCTAGTATACACACCAAAATCATGGGATCCCCTTATAAAAAGGAGCCCAAAAAGGAACCCCCTATGATCGGAAATCCCCTCACCCTAAACCCTAAATCCTAAACCCTAAACCGTAAACCCTAAACCCTAAACCCTAGGTTTAGGGTGCCCTGGGCTGCTCTCCGCGATGATAGCTGTTTATTGGACAGCCTATGCTTCTCACCTGAACTTCGGCCCAACTCTCTCTCTCTCTCTCTCCCTCCCTCTTTCTGGTTTAGGGTTTAGGGTTTCGGGTTTAGGGTTTAGGGCTTAGGGTTGTTTATTCTCTCTCTCTGTCTCTCTGTCTCTCTCCCTCTCTCCCTCTCCTCCCTCTCCTCTCTCTCCCTCTCTCTCCCTCTCCCCTCTCTCCCTCTCCTTCCTTTGGACATCGAGGTCACAGCGTCCGGGATGCTTTAAATTCGCAAGCCTCACTACACCCTCATTGTGACAACCAAGGCTCCTGAATAGTAGATGCAAGAGGGCGTGTACTACTGTTATTGGCATGTGTATTTAGGGTTCCCGTATTCTTGGTGAGTGTGTGAATTGGTGTCCTTTGGGGGGTACTAGTAATATCAACCCCAAACCGCAAACCCCAAACCCCAAACCCCAAACCCCAAACCCTAAACCCCAAACCCCAAACCCTAAACCCTCCTCTCACAGTAACTTGAACCCTACGTCATATGATCGGGAGCGCAGTTTTTTTTGACAAACCACTTCAGCCATGCCTCCAGCTGTCGCGAATTGATGCACTGCTACCCGAGGCAAGGGTCCCGACAGATTGCGATGCTGGGTTTAGGGTTTAGGGTTTAGGGTTTAGGGTTTAGGGTTTAGGGTGCTGCTGCGCCTTTTCGCGTTGGCCCGGATGTCAAAGATTTCGCCACGTCATGACCTTTGCACTCTGCTGCCACAGCGAGAAGCCTCCTTGGTAACTAGAATAGGGTTTTTGGGGTTGTTACAGTAAACCCTAAACCCTAAACCCCAAACCCTAAACCCTAAACCCTAAACCCTATAAATACATAGGGACCACAAGGGAATAATTGGGTCGAGTAAAACCCTGAAACCCGAAACCCGAAACCCTAAGAACCCTAAGCCCTAGAACCTTAAATCCCAAGGCTCAACTCCATGCTTGTCTTGCGACAGCAATTGTTTCCCCATCTTTTGATCTCTATGCTACCCCCCCCCCCCCCCCCCCCCCCAGGTTCCCCCCTTATATCACCTTAATCAGGCTTCATTATCCCTCAATAGCCTTAATTTGGGGGGGGGGGGTGGGGGCAGGGGGAACCCAGGCGGGGTAGTATAACCTTTGATGTTATGGCATCCCTCTCCCAAACCCTAAACCCTAAACCCCTAAAACCCTAAAACCCTAAACCCTATAAACCCTAAACCCTGATTGTGGCTCTCAGGGCTTAAGGGAGCAACCTCGACTCTGTTAAGGACTTGGGGCCTTAAGGTGTAGGGCCCCATGGGTGTTTATAGGGTTTCTGGACGTTTTGCAGAGTTTTATGGGCTTTGGGGAACCCAAATTGGAATCCAAATTACGGCCCAAATAAGGCCGAATTAAGGGTTATTCGGGCGGTTTTTTTGTGCAGGGGCAGTTGGGGATGTGGTACTAGAGGATCTCAGAATCTTGGTGAGGTTTGGTCGCGGGCCAGTGACATACCCTAAACCCTAAACCCATGGTAGATACTCGGCCCAACCACAGGCTTAAAACTTCAATGGGTTTTAGGGTCTAGGGTTTTAGGGGGTTTAGGGTTTAGGGTTTAGGGTTTAGGGTTTAGGGTTTAGGGTTTAGGGTTTAGGGTTTAGGGTTTAGGGTTTAGGGTTTAGGGTTAGTAAGTAGATGCGGGCCAGAATCCTCCCTCCCCAAATCCTAGGCCCTATAGACCCTAGGGTTTAGGGTTTAGGGTTTAGGGTTTAGGGTTTAGGGTTTAGGGTTTAGGGTTTAGGGTTTAGGGTTTAGGGTTTAGGGTTTAGGGTTTAGGGTTTAGGGTTTAGGGGCTTACAACCCCAAACCCCTACTCCAAACCCCCTGCCCCCTACAAACCCAAGCCCCACATGTCTTAAACGGCAACCCAGGGACACCTACACTCGTTTTTTTTGCGAATTGGGGTTCGGGACTTGAAGCTTGTTGAACAAGTCCCAGTCGACTTCCCCTAAGCCCTTATCCCTAAACCCGAAACCCTAAACCAAAAGCCTAAAGCCTACACCCTAAACCCGAAACCCTAAACCCTAAACCCTAAACCCTAAACCCTAAACCCTAAACCCTAAACCCTAAACCTTGGTGTGTGCTTGACGGCCTTAAGGTTGAAGAGCTCTTGTAGCGGCTGTCCTAAGAGTTCTTCACTGGAGGTTTTTTCTTGGTAGCCCAGTGGTACCCTTTTTCCCTTTTTGTTGGTTCAAGGTTCCCTTACGAAGTATCCCACCAAAAAAAGTGCCCTTATTATAATATGGTTACTGGGGTACCAAGTTTTGCAGTTCAAGGACTCAAGGCACCGTACTCACTTGGGGGTTTCCAAACATAGGGGTGCCCTCTCTAAGGGGGTTCTGTTCTATCTGAGGCACAAAATACTAGATCAGTGTTAGGGATCCTTTTTGCTTTTTGGGTTATGGGCTTTCTTATATATGAACAAAAAGGATCCTTTTTTCTTCCTAGGGGAACAGGGATTAAGAAAAGGGGTACCCCGATTGTGGGAAGTATTCGCTTGAGCTCCGGCGGCAGAAGATGATGAAAGGCAGTGCCCATTCTTTTTTCTAAGGGCCTGGGTCTCGAAAGCTGGAGGATAGGCCCCTGCGCTGGACGTAAGGCTCGAATTCTCCAGGTCGCCCCGTTCATTGCAAGTGGGATGTTCCCGACACTCCTGCCGATCTTTGGGGTTTAGGGTTTCGGGTTTAGGGTTTAGGGCTAGGGTTTAGGGTTTAGAGCCTAGGGTTTATGGTTAGGGTTTAGGATTTTGGGTTCCGATCGGTGCGAACGGGAAGTCACCGCTGCAATGGCTGTGGTAGAGTGAGACCTGTGGCTTGTTCGGGGTCGTGTACCTGGTGCGAGGGGCAACGAAGAGGGTGGGGACACAAGTACCCTTTGCAACCCTAAACCCTAAGTCCTAAACCCTAAACCCTACACCCTGAAGCCTGAACCCTGAGCCCTGAACCCTAAACCCTAACCCTAAACCCTAAACCCTAAACCCTAAACCCTAAACCCTAAACCCTAAACCCTAAACCCTAAACCCTAAACCCTAAACCCTAAACCCTAAACCCTAAACGTACAGTGCCAGGCCGTGAGGAGTGCACATATCATGCAACCATATGGCCATGCGGTGCTTGGAAGGTTAATGGCTACATAGAGAAGGTTGTATGTACCCCTTAGTAGTAGAGTAGGTAACCTTTAACCTTTTTTGGGTTAGATAACCCCCTTGTAATCCCAAAGGTTAACCTTTAGTTCCCCTAGGTACTGGACAACTAAGACCCTAGCTACGGCTATAAAAAGTTTAAGACTACAACTACCTTTCTTTTACACCTGCTTAGAAGAACCCATGAAGCTCTAAGTAGGCGCAGGAGTAGAGTCGCACGAGCAGTACATTGCATCGGAGCAGGAAGCTCCAAAACCATGAGCACTCTCACGAGCAGCCATTTAGGATTCGGGTATGGTTAGGGTTCCGGGCTTTGCCCTAAACCCTAGAGAAAGACACACAACCCTAAACCCTAAACCCTAGACAAAGCCTGACCCGTTCAAGGAGGAGCTTGAGGGTGTCCGGTAGTTCCGTGTAGGGTCTCAGACATCTCACAGCCTTTAAGCCCTGAAAAAATCTGGGGAGGGGTGGTAAACCCTAAACCCTACACACTAAATTACCCTAAACCCGAAGTTACCCTAAAACCAAAAAAGGCGACTCGAGGGTTTAGGGCTTCGGTTTTGGGGAAACCCTAAACCCTAAACCCTAAACCCTAAACCCTAAACCCTAAACCCTAAACCCTAAGGTCTAGGAGCCTAAATCCTCAACCCTAAATCCTAAACCCTAAGCCCTCAACCGTTCGCACCCGGAAGCTTGACAGGTGCCGAGACCCCCCTTTTATTTAAGCTGCTGTGGCATGATCGAAAGCGGACGCCGCCCAACACGAGTTTAGGGTTTAGGGTTTAGGGTTTAGGGTTTAGGGTTTAGGGTTTAGGGTTTAGGGTTTAGGGTTTAGGGTTTAGGG